AAAATATTAAATATAAACTAAGTAAACATGCATTGCACGTTGCTTTCACCTAGTATGAGTAAAAAATGCAATTCCAATAATAAAAATATATTCATGAAACCGTAACACTCGCCCCGTCAAAGGGCAAACCAAGCAACACTCATAAATCAATATCAATATAAAAAAAGTTAATCACACTCATAAATCATAATAACATAAACCTATTTTAATATTTATAAACAAAATTAGAAGTATAGGTTGAAATAAAGATAAATTGATGAATAAAGAAGAGCAAATTCTCTAATTAGTAAATCACATAACAAGTTATAATATAAAATAGAAGTAGAAACAATTTAGAATTATGCTATATCTTCGCTATTAATGTGATATTTAAGAAAACCATCTTCTATAATTTTTTCTTCATTATCATGCCCCACTTACAATGGTACATTCTTCTTCCTCTCACTCCGTCTAAAGGTACAAGAATCAAAACAAAATACACAAAACATTGAACATCACTTAAAAAAAATGTCTAAAAGGTAAGAGTGGACACAGTCTAGTTCAATTTGGTTCTGAGGATATTCGACTCAAGTACCAATGAGAATCTTAGAAATAAAACAATTGATTCCATATCCAACTATAGAACCGAATTCCGATTCTGTCCGGTTTGTTTGGTTTGTTGTTTGGGTTGTGTTTGTTTGTTTGGTGGAGGTGGTGTTTTGGTTTGTTTCTGTTGTTTGTCGTTTGGTTTGTTTGGTGGTGGTGAAGTCTAGACAAAGTCCACTTCGTGGCGGGGATGTTAAATTGCTGATTGCATAGGTGGCTTTCAATTTGGGCCTTGCCTTTCTTGTAAAGTCACAGCTGTGATGACTTCGGTTGATTTGTTTGTCTTGGGTCGTGTTTTTGTTTTCGGTCATGTCTGTTTTAGTGGTCATTCCTTTGGTCGTTGTGGCACTTTTTTCTCTCTTTTGAGGGTCTGTGTTTGGAGGTTTTCCTCCTTGTAACCGCGTTTTTGCGCCTTTTATGGAATGACTTTTATCAAAAAAAAAAAAAACTCATAAAGGCTAAAAGAAGATAAATTATTAAAAACACAGCACAAACAGAAAAATTTCAACTGAAAAATAGTTTTTAAGAAAACTCGTATAACAATAACCTGATCATCTTTAATAATCTTCAAGGATCTTAATTTTTAATGCCAAGTCACTTGGAAAACAACGAAAAATTTGAACTCTAATAAAATATTGAAATACAAATATATTTTTCCATATCAGGTTGGCATTCAAGCTATGAATTTGTAAAGTATTTA